CCCTCGTGCCAACCATCCTGGGCCACTGAGAAGCTCCCACTTGTTCCCATGGACCTGCAGAGCTCTCACTTTTTTCACACCCTGCTCAAATGTCCCCAGTCAGGTAACATCCCCACCTCCACGGAAGGCCCCAGTGTCTGCCTGTCTTCCCCACTAGGATGGATCCTCGCTAGCACAGGCTGCTTTGCACCTCTGATCACTGAGTGGGGCCCCCATATTCTCCCTCAAAGCCCTTCCAAGGTGACTCACCACCAGAGAGGAAGGCAATGGTAAAAGCACATTTACCAGGGCCTTTGGTGTCAAAAAGACCAACCACACACTTGATATTGTTTTTCTTATAAAACTAGTCAAGAGAAACTAACGGTCAAAATGAATGCCAGGTTGTTTTAAACCATACCCAAGTACTGTTTAGTCCAAAAAATCCAGACTTTTAGGATGTGGATACCCAGGTCTATGGAGACACTGTGACCTGCTGCATCTCTGCTGTGTCCAATGACAAAGGCCATAGGAGGGCACTCAAAACTTGCCCCCAGGCACTGCTAACTGCTGAAGTACATTTTAGTTAATCTCCCTGGTAATTTTCAGGACCTAGTATCATTTTGGCAGAGAGCAATGCTAAAAGTTGCAAATACCTCAAGCAAAATTTCACCATCAAAGCTGCCAGAAGATGAGTACTTAAAATACAGACTATAGATTCAATCAATGAGGAACTGCATTCTCAACTACAGAAGGCAAGAGGTTTCAAAGAAAAACACAATCACATCTCAGGGGACTGGGGATTTAGCTCGGTGGCAAAGCGCCTGCCTGCCAAGTGCAAGGTCGTGAGTTCCATTCCTGGTACAGGAAGAAAAACAAAATGACCAAAATAACCAATCACATCTCAGGCACATCTAACTCTGCCTTCATTCCCACTCTCCAGCACCAAGTCTAGATAAAATCCAGAAATCCTTTTTGGCTACGTGAACCTAAATCATACCAATACTTATATAGAACTATTCTTGCTAAAAACCTCCAGAGGAGCCAGGCATGGTGGCACACCCCTGTAATCCCAGCGCTCGGAAAGCTGAGGCAGGAGGATCCTTGCAAGTTTGAGACCGGCATGGGCTACAAAGTGAGCTCAAGGCCAGCCTGAACTGCATAGTGGGACCCTGTCTCAAAAAGACAAAAAATTTAAAAATTAAAACAAAACAAAGGGCTGGGGATTTAGCTCAGCAGCACAGAGCCTGCCTGGCAAGCGCGAGGTCGTGAGTTCGATTCCTAGTACCAGAAACAAAACAAAAAAAACCAAAAACCTCCAGAGGATCCCTGCAGAACTGGGACCACAAAGTTTCCCATTTAGGTATACAGTACAGCAAAAATATTTTGACATTGGACACAAAAAAAGTCAACTATTTTGTACACTGTCTTCTACCACCTGAAGCCCTTTTCTGGGTTTTTAAAATTTTATACAGAAATAAAACAATTTCACAACAAAATAATAGAATAAGAACAATACATTGTGTATCATTATCGTGTACAATACATTTATCAAAAAGAGTCTCTCTTACAAAGAAGAAACAGATAAATCAGAAGCCCTCTGGGGCTGGGCATGGTCCCAGCAGTTGGAAGGCTGAGGCAGGAGGATCACTCCAAGGTTGAGGCCAGCCTGGGCTACATGAGTTCAACAACACCTTGAACTACACATTGAGACTCTGTCTCAAAAAAAAAGGGCAGTCCTCAGAATGATTCCTAGCTTACTGAAGTCTCTTTAGAGAAGGAAACTTATTTTAATAGATCTGATTAGGTTTTAAAAATGTAGTGTACACTTCTAACTTTGTGAAATGTGCATGGATTGCAACCAAGTCTCCGCCCATTCCTGCTTTGTACACTACCAGTGACCTTTAATCCCAAGAGGTATGAGGAAATGCTTGCTTCCTAAACTGAATCATTCCCAACTGCTATAACTACAAATATCTGCCTTTTTTATTGTTTCTTTCCTTCCTGTCACTCAAGCTTTTGCAGTTATCAGGGCCTAGGAGTGGGACTCTTTCCTGTCTGCTGTCAAGAGCGCCAAGCACTGTTACTACTGTGAATATAAACCGGGAAATGAGGACATTGGAGGCGAGGCTCTCATCAGTCACTAGTCCTCCCAACCCCTGTAGTGGGTGGGGTAAAAGGACTCTTGTCAGTGCTTAAGGGAAATCCTCCTAGGAATAATGTGGCTGTGCCTGTGTCAAACTGTCCATCTTTTTTTTCCCCAGCTAATACGGCCATCTTACCCACCTGAGAATGCTGTCTCCCAGAATGGTGACAGGCTGCACAGTGGTTACCCATGAGTTGCAACCACACTTCAAAGGGCTCATAAGAACGACAAGAGGACAGGAACCTGAGTGGTACATGTTGGTAATCCCAAGTTCCTATACAATCTCACATCATACATACAAACACACATACACACACCTGTAACTCCCACCCCTTCTTTATTTCCAAGCAGGAAGGGGCAAATCTCTCCCAATGAGGAGTGGATATAGCACAAAGACAAATTCTTATCTAATTTAAGATTCCTGTGGATACCTTTGGCAGGTCGGTACTTTATTTCCCTCTACTCTGAATTGTTTGGAGGTGAAAGGTGAACTGAGGAAAAGGTCTTATGTAAGCCAAAAGGGCTAGGCCCCATGCTGACTGGGGCCTGTCTGCTAAGTGGAAATGTCACAGCTCCCGGAGGAGTGTTCAGGGAAGGTTGGTGAGCCAGGCTTATGATTGAGAGCAGATTTAAATCCACACATCGGTGTAATGTTTAACTTGAAGAATCAGAAAAAAATCGAGCTGAATCTCTCAAATCACAGTAACATGCTATTCATAAACCAGCACAACAGGTTTCTTCTCTTGGTTAGATCTCTATGGCCATCTGATTCAGGATCGCCTCAGTGGCTGCCAGTCCATATTACCTGTTAGTAAAGTGAAAAAGAAATGCCCCTTCCTGTAGGTTCAAGTCTCCTGATCCTGAGCAGAGGTGGCCTAACGGGTGGAAAGTCTGAACACCCTCTCCACTTGGTACTGTAAAAGCAGCACAGAGAACGTTGTTCCACTACATGATTTTTTTTCCCACTACATGTTAAAATCAGAACTGAGGAACACAGAACCAGTTTTTGCTTTCTACTTTCCTTCCATAATGAGCAGACTTTATGAGTCAGCTGTTAGCCACAGCAACTGTTTCCCCCCTACACCTTTTTGGAGGAGGCAGGGCTGGGGATTGATCCCAGCTCCTCAGGAGTGGTAAGCAGTGCTCTCCTACTGAGTTACACCTCACCCCTTCAAGTAGCAAGTCTCTGTATCTGCCTCGTGAGCAAAAGTGTACAGCCCAACTCACACTCGCTTCCACAAAACACCCGAAGACAGTGATGGACGGTTCTCTGCCCAACAGTGTGTGAAGGAGATGGCAGAGCTCTATCAAAACGCCGCAGCTAGATCTGCAACCAGCACTTATATCATTCTTCTCCGCCGGAATTTTCGACTCCACGTGTAACACTGTGTATTTGAAGTCCTTACATTCTGGCCACTCCTGCAGTGCTGCTGGAAAACTCAAATGGAGCAAGGACACCACCCATGGGTCCTACGTGTAGGATACTGGTCAACGAGCAGAGAAGGGCCACAGAGGCCACACACAACGCACGGTGGCACCTCACTAGCCTTCCTTTCACCACACTACACTACAGAACACGCCAAAGCAGCCGGCAGGAATAACTGCTGACCTGGCTCTGAACTACAACTGATCACCCTAACCTCAGCAGTGCACCTACCATGCAGCTCTTCATGGTGACTTCTGCGACCACCTAAGGCAGAGGCAGGGTGACCCTTTCTTCCTTCCCTGCCTACGATCTAAGTAAGATTCCACCTTATTTCCACAAGGCGCCCATCGGCTGCTGGGACGAAATGGGAGACCTTTCCCCTGTTCGGAAGCATTCCACGTACAGTACAGCGACCCAGCTAAAATCTGACAGGCCGCGACCACTCCAACCGTGCACTGGTTTTGGTTTCTGCCGTGAAGGCTGCAAGCAGGCCGATCAGACCCGCGGGCGCGTTAGAAAGTCCTTCTTATCTACCAGGACCACAGCAAGGCACCACCCCGGGGATGAACACGGTTCAGCCCTTCCTCCGGAGGCCACGGGCCTTGAGGGCCGACCCCAGATCGGCTCCCAGTCTCACGCGAGAGAAGAGGGCGGCGCCGTTCCCAGGAGGCCGCCGAGCGCAGACCCCGTGCGGGGCGCAGACCCCGCGTCGCACCTCCAGAGGACAGGACCTCCGCGGGCGGGCGGCCCTCGCTCTAGGTCGGGGTCCCGGCCCACGCTCGCTCTCCTCCTCCCTCGCCCGCCCCTGCGCTCGGGGCAAACAGGAACTAGACCGGAGGCCGAGGTGCGAGCCCTGCCGCCCGCGTGACCTTGACGGCTGTCGGGCCCGCCTGCACCTCAGTTTCCCGGCCGTCCAGGCCGCCGGGCGCTCTTCACCCGGAAGGCCCGCGAGCCCCGCGGCCGCTGCACCGGCACGGTGCGGGGCTCCGAGGGGGCACAGGGAGCAGGAAACCCCGCTTCCCGGAGGGCACCAGCGTCCTGAGGACTTCCGGGCTGCGGGCTGCGGCCGGCGGCGGCAGCGGGAGGGCCCGGGCGGGGAAGCCAGGAGACTGCGGGGGCGACGCGGGGGTTGAGAGCGCTCTCAACCCTGTCTGGCCCGCCCGGCCCTGGCCTTGCCCGGCCCACCCTGGCCTGGCCCCGCCGCCGCCGCCGTTGTGGAAGGCTCCAGGGAACCTAAGGCCGCCCAGTGTCCATCCCAGGCCACCGGGTCTCCCCTCGCCCTCACCTCAGCGGTGGCTGCTCCGAGCCAGGCGTTGGTTTCGCTCCCACAAGATGGCGGCGCTGACGGCGGCCACGTCAGCGCCTGAGGCCGCGGGGGATGCCGGGAAGGGGCGGGCACACCGGCGGCCCGCCTACAGTGCGCATGCGCGCTGACTTCGCGCGGCCGGCGTGGTGGGAGTTGACACCCCCGGGGCGGACCCGGAGACGCGCGGCTCGCGGAGCCGGGCCTCACTGGCTGAGGCCACGTGCGTCTTTTGCGCTCAGGACGGGCAGGCCTGGAGTGTCACTTGCCCTTGTCCAGGTAGTCGCTACGAGTCCTGGAGGACCATGTGAAGACCAAGGGGTCGTCATTGGTCTTCACCCGGGGCCCGGTGAGAGCCCTGCGAGGGACAGGTGGGCGCGGCGTGGGGCCTGGCCCTGGCCCGGGCTCCACGGGGCGGGCTCTCTCTTCTCCAGGGTGTCCAGGGTCCCTGGTGCTCCTGCCTGCGCGGACGCTGAGATAGCCAAAGCGGGTAGTGGCCAGGCCCGGTGTCGGAAGCGCACTGTCCGCGCTGGCGCGGCGTCCTGCGGACTCGTGCCCCCAGATCTAACGCGGGGGGCCGGGGACAGACACGGTGGGGACTGGGCCGCCCGGGGTGGTCGGGCGCTCCAGAAGGCGGCCGGGCAGGATTCGGAGCCGGCTGCGTTCCCGAGTGGGCGGGAGGCCGGGCTGGCCAGCACCACCCGACCTGCGGGCCCAGTCCTGCGTGCTGGTCGCGGGCCCCCCAGCCCTGCATCCTGTATGTCCCTGAGGGCCGAAGCAGGGCTGCCCCGTGGAGTCCAGGCCCCACCCCGGCCCACCTGACCCTCGCAGGGCTCGCCCTGGGCCCTGGGGCCGGACTGAGCGCTGCCCTGGGTGCCTCCGGCTGCGTCCAAACACAGCGTGGGCCCAGCGCGCTGGCTGTAGCCCGTTCTCGCCGGCTGAGCACACCGCAAGCGGTCGCGAGAGCCCAGGGGCGGCGAGGCCTGGGCACTCGCGGGCTGGCTCCGCACACCCAAGCCGGCTGGACGCTCTACCGGGGACGCTGGGGTCCATCAGTGGTGACGGCCATTTGAGAGGGACATCCAGGGATGGCCCCAGGTGACCAAGTGGGGATTTCCTAGGAACTGGAGCACAGGTCCCCTTCCTTTACAGAAAGATGAAAAAATTTTTGAGAAGATACGGGCAGCGATGGATGTGCCAGTTGCCCTGCTGTAGTAAACATTGTATGCGTGCATTAAAATGTCACACAGGAGCCGGGCATGGTGGGGCACGCCTGTAATTCCAGCACTCGGGAGGCTGAGGCAGGAGGATCGTTGCGAGTTCGAGACCAACCTGGGCTATAAAGTGAGCTCAAGGCCAGCCTGAACTGCATAGGGAGACCCTGTCTCAAAAAAAATAAAATAAAATAAAATAAAATGTCACACAGCACCTCATAAATAAGTGCAACTTTTGTAGATATTTGATATTTAATTGGTGCTAAGTGTGAACTAGATCCTGTTGCTAAATCCCAGCAAACAGTTGTGTTCTAGCTAGAGTTAAACCCTGGGTAAAACTGTCATATTGTATTTGTCTGAGTGAAGTTTAAATGTTAAATTTTATATTCAGTATCTAGAGAGAGAGAGAGAGACAAAGACAGAGCACCAAAAAATGTATATGCACTTCACTTTTTGTATCAATACTGCCCTACTAGTTCGCCCTACTAATAAGTGTCTGGAACCTGATGGCCCTCTCTTTGAGCACCTCTTGTAGTTGTAGAAGCCAGCAGCTGGGAGTGATGATGGCGCACATCTGTAATGCCCCGAACTCAGGAGGGTGAGGCAGGCAGATCACTGTGAGATGGAGGCCAGCCTAGGCCATATAGTGAGTTAAGGCCAGCCTGAACTACATACATAATGAGACCCAGTCTCAAAAAACAAAAACAATTACAATTGGCCAAAGGTAGCTTGTATTAATTTCGTGATGTCTCAATAAATTTAGTATTAAAATATTTATACAAGTTTTCCTTTTCGTGCTGTATACATTTTTTGTCAGTTCCTCTCTCTCTCTGTGTATGTATAGTTATATATATAACTATATATATATATATATATATATAGTTGTGTATATATTTGTATATACTCTTAAAAAGAAAAATAAAACAGCTGAGCCTGATGGTGCATACTTGTAATCTCAGCCACTTGGGAGGCTGAGGCAGGAGGATCACAAGCTCTGGCCCAGCCAGGGGAATTTAGTGAGATACACCTCAAAAAAAAGGCTGGGGATTTAGCTCAGTACAAAGGCTCTGGATTCAATCCTTTGAACTGCAAAGAGAAAAAAGGACAACAAAAGAAGTTCCATTATTTTGGAGAATAAGTAGTTTAGTGAAATGAAAACATACATAAAGACAGGAAGGAGGCCGGCCGCGGTGGTGCATGCCTGTAGTCCCAGCACTCAGGAGGCTGAGGCAGGAGGATCGTTGGGCATTTGAGACTAGCCTGGGCTACAAAGTGAGCTCAAGGCCAGCCTGAATTGCATAGTAAGATCCAGTCTCAAAAAAGACAAAAAACAAACAAACAAAAAAGACAGGAAGGAGTTAAATAAAATATATGCACAGTTTAATAAGACCAGAGTCCAGGATATGGTTCAGTGGTATATCTAGCATATGCAAGACCCTGGGTTGAATCCTTAACACTGCAAAATAAATAATAAAATGAAAATAGAGTTGCATACAATTTCTGTGTGAATAGAATGATAAAATGGGTTGCTGCATTCTGATACTTTGCTCTGTGTTGTATGTGTCTGGTCTGCCTCCATCCTGGGGTAGAGGGACCAGGCAGGAATGGGAACCTGTGGACAGGGTCATCTAGGGGTGGGTCCCTGCCACGAGGCAGTTACATGGGGAGACTGAGGCCTGTGCCTCCCAGTCCCCTCCCCGCCCCCCATGGCTTATGGCCTGACATGGCCTTTACCTCTCCAAAGAGGTGCGACCAGCTCTGGCCAGGAGGTAGGTGAGGTGAGCTGGGACAGGGTGGAGTCCTGGGGTCAGGCTGTCCAGGCAGGACCTCGCCCCACCTCCAGCAACCCTACCCCTGGCACTCCCCTGCCCCTGGCACCCAGTGCAGCCTCTGTGTGTATCTGAGATAGGCGATCTTGCAACCCCCTTGAGTGCTGTCCCTAGCATCACACTGCTCAGCCCTGCATCTGCCTGTTGCCCAGACTGCTTCCTTCCCTATCCTACTCCTTGCCTCCCAGGTATTGGCTGCCTTGGTGCTGCTGCTGGCTGAGGAATCCTCTGGAGTCCTCTGCTGTGGGGAGCTGGCCCCCAAACCAGCACTCCAGCCTGCTAGTGTTTCCTGCACCACGTTGGGCAGTCAGGGACTGCTGGGCTGTCTGTCCTCTCACTCCCACAGAAGGGTCAGAGCAGGCTCACCTGCCCAGGGCTCACGCTTGGCCAAGCCCAGTCCGTACCAGTGTCTTGTCCCTGTGTTCTGTGCTCAGGCAGAGCCCGAGGACCACATGTGCAGGAAGCACCTGCTATGCTGATAGCTTCCCTGAGGCTGAGTGGGGAGAGTACTCCGTCCTTCCTGCCTTCATGCTACCTGCCCCTCCAGTCCTGGGAGATTGTGAAATGTGTGTTTGGTGCACACAGCTCCCAAATCCTGCACTCTGGGGACAGAGGTCTTTGGTGTGCTAATGAGCCTGCCACTGGCCAGCAGCCCTGGGTGCTTCAGCACGAGCTGACACGGAAAGACCAAGGCAGGGTCCCAGGGCTGGGACTCCCCGCCCCACCCTGCCTCCAGAAGGGTAGAGGGACCGAGAGTCCAGTTGATCTCCAGGGCCCAGCAACTGAGTCAGTTCTGCCTGCGTCACGAAGCCTCCAAAAACCCAAGGCCAGGGCTCAGGGACTCCTGGGATCTGCACACGGGGAGGGCGGGGCCCAGGGAGGGCAGGAAGCCCAGCCTCCCCATACCTGCCCTGTGCACCTCCTCATCTGCAGCCTGGTACTGTCCTGATGAGAGACCAGGAACTGAGCAAGGTCCCCTGCCCCAGACCCTGTGACCAGGGAAGCAAGTCCATCCAACCCCAGGAGGGGCCAAGGGGACCCTGCTTCACGGCCAGCCAAGGTCAGAATCCCAGATGAGGCAGCCTGGGCTTGTGGTGGCATCTGAGGTGGGGGCCGTGCTGAGCCGGAGCCCCACCTGTGGGCGGTGCAGTCTGCAGGTGGGTGGTGTTGGGCGGGTTGGATTAGCGGTCGCCAGCTGGTGACTTCTGCAGAACTGCTCGCTTGTTTGTGGGGAGAAAATCCCACAGCTTTTGACGCCATGGACATCTGCAGTGTTGGTTGCTGAGTGAGAAGCAGAAGCTAAGCCTTGGCCCATCGAGGCTCATCCTGAAGCTGAGCTCCTGCTGGCCACCCTGGAGGACGCTGCTGCAGTGGTCAGGCTGTATGGTCCTGTGGACCCCGAGAGGGGCCGGCACAGACTGTTACCAGCCCTGGGGCGCCTGCCCTGGGCCCCGGGCCTGGGCTGGGACCTAGGACCAGCCCGCCTTGACTTTCGTTGCTCAGGTCCTGTGGGAGCCGCACCGTCACCCAGAGGTTCCGGGTGGAGAGGCTGGTCTTCCACTTCCCCCTCCTCAGCTCCAGCCCAGTCTCATGCCAGCCCTTGGTCCACATGGGGGGTTGTGGAGCTGTGCATGGCCCCTTCCCCTCATCTCCTGCAGGTTTCCACCCCTGGGGCAATGTCTGAGGTTGGGTCCCTGCCTGCTGAGGCTAGTGCCACAGCGCTCCCCACAGGCCAGTTGCCCAGGCAGGGTCTGCTTTCTGTCTGGTCCTGGGTCAGCAGGCATGGAGCTGGGGGCCTTATTAATTAACCTATAACTCAGGTTTAGCATCTCCTCTTGTTTGGAATGCAGGTAGCATTCCCAATCGCAGTATTAGCAGGACCTGTGATCTTTAAAATCCTTTAACTGGCACATATAACTGTACATGTTTATGGGGTACAAAGTGATGGTTTGGTAGATGTCTGCAATGCGTAACGATCAAACTAGGGCAATCAGCATTTCCATCTCTGCCAGTGCTTACCAGGTTTTCTTGCTGGGAGCCTTTGAGCTCCTCTCTTCCAGTTCTTTATAAAGAGCCCAACAGTCGTGAACACTGGCACATGCTGTGCCGCAGAACTGGAGAGCAAGCTCTCCCTCCTGGCTGCCTGCGCACCTCACCTCCGACCCCCTTACCCCACTTCCCCAGCAGCAGTCGTCCACTGTCGCCCATGAGATCAGCGTTTTTGCTTCCTATGCGAGTGAGGTGATGCTGTGCTTGTCTCTCTGTGCCTGGCCTGTTTCACTTAACTCTAGTCTCATCCATGTTGGTACAAATAACAGGATATTGCTCTTTCTTAAAGTTGAATACAAGGACCTATGTTCTGTTACTGGTAGAAATCTCAGACCTTTGGGGTCTGAGATGTCACAGGAATGCAGAAATGGTTTATGCTCCCTACACAACTGAAATTTTGGGGGTTGCCTGTTTTTACCATTTTGAGCACCAATCGTAAAAGAAGTCCCAATCTCTAAGGACACTTACAGATCTGATGTCCCCACCAGGAAAAGTGAAATGCCATGCATCTTGAAGTGTTTGCTAATAGACTGTGCTCCTTGTCACAATGAGGCAGGTGTCTTAGGCACTGGTGATACCTCACCAGCCAGGGGATCCCCTGTGAATCCCTACCATGCACACACAGCCCCGTCCCTCTCTGACTGGACAGAGGCTGGCTGTGGCCCTTGCTGAGGGGCTGATTCAGATCTCAGGTTGTGTGCAGACAGCATGGAGCTGCAGGTCACCCAGAGCTTCCTGTTCCAAGAATCTGCATTTTCCACAGGGCTACAAACCCTGGAAGTTGAGAGGGGTGAAACCCTGTAGAAGCCTTCCAGGGCTGCAAGGTGAAACAGGCTGGCCAGAGGGGCCAGAGGGCGTGGGGCTGGCTATCCAAGGGGTCTGTGTCCAGGGCAGTGAAGGTCCAGGGTGGGCTCAGGCCCCAAAGTCCCAGCCCTGGTTTAAAGGGGCCACTCCACACAAGAGGAAGTGCGGGCACCACCTTGGCAGACAGAGTAGCCGGCATCTGCGGCCTGGTTACGCTCCTAGCGCCTCTGGTTGATGGGGAGAAAACTCACTCTTTTGGAGGCCACAGAGTCAGGCCGCAGGTGAGATCTGTTTTGGTTCCATCCAGTTGGGGATGTTTGATCCAGTCCTAGGGCCAGCCACCCCTGAAGAGATGGAAATAGGCCAGAGGACAGGAGGTGGCTGGAGTGGGAAGCCCTTGAATTGGACCTCTCCCAGGGTGT